AAATTAGATAATATTATTTTATTAATAAAATAAATTAAATCATGTCACATAATTGATTTATAGGGCAAACAATATTAATATTAACGAAAAAATCGTGAATTTAAACATAAAGTTTAGCTGAATTAATTCACATAGTCACTTTTAAAATATTATATCTAACAAACTTAAGTTTTAAATTTTAATTCTTGTAATTTTTTTTGTCTCAAATTGTAACTTCTTATGTAAAAAAATTCTGAATCTATGGTAAAATAAATGAATTATTAAGATTTTATAAGATAAGCCTTTACTCTTATTTCTCAACACCATTTTGTGCTGAAATGAGGACATGAAGTGATTGCAACGGGAACATAACATGATTATGGATGATATCCCTTGGGAAGAATACTGAGGGGAGAGCCTCAGCTTCCTTTGTCGCTTGTCGCTACCTAAAAGTTGGCCCATTCTGGTCTTTTGACTTAAATCTCTATCTTCGACCACTGACCACGAAACGATCATCAGAATTTTGGGAGACGACAGATCAGCCACCAAAAGAAAAAGGTGACTACTCAGGTGAATGCTAGTGAGTCAAAATATATGGTCCAGGTGAAGATTCTACAATGATATAAGCCTGTTATTTGGAAAAGGAGCCCCGGGTAAAAATATATTTGTGATATAATATGTTGTTTTGCTTCAGCATGATTTGTCCTTGTCCTACTGCTTGTGGGTGCTTCCTAGTGGGAATGGGGGGAGGATTGTAGGAGAATGCTTTTATTTGCAGGCTGGAATTTCAAACACAAAAAGGAATAGTCTTTTTCTCGTTATATAGAATATTTTCAACTAAAAAAAATCATAGTAGAAGTGAATAATGGGGATGTAAAAAAAAGGGTATGATTGTCGATATGATGAATAGTTAAATTCTAATCTTTTGCATTAACTTTGGACTTTGGACAGGTCGTTTTACCTTAAAGTATCCATGTTCGATGTATGTAAAATTTTGGGTATTTTATTATTTATCTAGATATGATAATTTGAGCTTCAAATTTAATATAAAAAATTAGCGAAAATGTAGGCCGAAAGAAGAAACAAAAAAATCTTTGCAATTGCTTGATCGCTAGCTAATTTGGGCCTACTGATTACAACTTCGTGAAAGAAAAATGTAAAAACAACAATTTCCAGCCCAACCGCAAATGTCATTCAAAGGTCCAAATCACATCATCTCACTGAAACGCAGGGCAAGGATCAGGTTATTACAGTGTCCAGCATTTCTGTGATACTTAAAATCCTCGGCCTGACGAAATGGCGTAGCCTAATTCATCCAGGCTAAACGAAACGAATTTCAGATTAAAACACAAAAGTGTAAGATGGAATTGAGTTCAGGAACATTAGACGTGATAGCCTTGCCTGTACCCTGTAACAGACTTCACAAGATTCTGCTATCAGGATTCTGAAAGGTCTTATATAACTCATGTCTGATTTCTGCATTATCCCAGGTAGCAAAGGCAAGCAATATTCAGATAATCAATCTCACTAAGACACTGCTTTGACATATTTAAACATAAAATTGCTTCTCAAAAATATCCATAACCAAAAAAAACTTTTTCTTTTGGGTAAAACCTGAAAGAAAGGATGAAATCTCATAGATCTTCTGCTGCAAGGCAGGCGCATCCCTTGATTCAAGATCAGGGGAGGGGATTAGATCCATCCCTTGATGCAATACCGTTTGCAGAGAGGGATATAATCGAACTGGTGATTCTACCAAGATTCAAAGAACTATGTACATATGCTACAAAAGGAGCAAAGTGCATGCTGGTAAGAGATTACAAGCTGCTCTCCAAACTTTTAAATATTCCATTTGGTGCTTTCACTGAAGCGTTACATCATTGAAATGACAATAAAATATATTACCCAGAATTCCTATCGACTTGCCACTCCAAAAACTTCAAGAAATAGTGATCATCTAGGTCATCAAGTCAAATACTCAAAGGTCTCATGACTATGAAATGTTTCTTGCATAAAATTTGTAGAAAACCATTGGAATACCTCTGTTGGAACTCTAAAGAATTAACTTAAAATTTTGACATGTGAATTACAGCAGGCTGTTTCATGTCTCAAACAACTGATCAGATTGACCAACTACAGTCATAACTGAAAGTCACAAGTGTCCTGATGATTTTGTCCTGCAATTCTGACGAAACAATCTCAATCCCAATCTTGCATAACATGATTGAAACACAGACCTCAGCTCACAAAGCTTTAGATTAGGTGATTATTAGGTTGGTTAAGACTAAAAGGCATCAGAAATTAAATCCACTTTCTCCCTCCTGTAACATTCTTTATGCTGCTATTCAGAGCAACCAGTCCAAGCTCGGAGAATTTTCAACCAATGCATAGAATTTCATGATAATGAAGAGGATCAAATGATGGTACAGAAATGATAACAAATCCTCACGCTGCAAGATAAGGCTCTGACAATAAATTAATCTGAAATGATCTAATGAAAACCTAGTCACTTCCAATAATCTTACAGTCTTTGCGTACAATGTCCTCACAAATCCTATTAGTGGTATCCTTTCTTTAAATCTTCTATATGTAAAAGGAGTAAGTTCATACACTAATGAAATACATACTCTGTAAAGTCAGCAATCTCAGAGATCGTGTCCTGTAAACTAATCAATTATTAAAGAACTGTAAAGTATATTTCTTTCTTTCTTAACCTTAATTTATAACTACAACTGAAGAAAACTAATAGTAGGCAGTCTGAATGACATGACAAATTGAAACTTATCAAACAGTCAGAAGGACAGAGTACTTAACACGTTCGTTTCAATATTTCTTACTTTCCCTATTTAAATGGTTTAGTTACATGATCAGCAAAACTGAATTCCTCGATTGCCTCAGAGACCATCAATAAAAGGTATCCTTTAACAAATACACTACTAATTACTGACATACATATTCAGAACAAATAAAGCAAAAGACCGAAAGAATTAAACCAAAGAAATTACCTTGAGTTTGCCAATTCTTCTAGAATAACCAAGGGAACTATAAGTTTGCACAATCTACAGACAAAACTGTTTCTCAACATCATTTTTATTTGATTGAAAAATAACTTCACACAACTATCCAAAATGGCCAAAAGCAAGGTAAACTAAACATTATGCCACTTAAGAGTGCAAAGTCTTGGTTATCAGATTTCCCCAGTACTCTTATCTTTTACAAGTTACTCATCAAATTACAAGAGCATTCCACGAAGGCTCCTTGGTGAACAACATATCAACCCTCAAAGGTAGTAAATACCAATCGTAGTTTACCACCTACAAACTTCACTACACAATGTTGTCATCAAAACAATATCTGAAACTTTATCCACCAGAGGCAACTATGATTCACTTTTATGTCTTAGTGAACTCAGTTCCAGCAGAAACCAAGTCCTTAAAGTTTTCACCAAAAGGTCCAGGGAGTAAGACTTGAAGATCAACAGAAATCAATATGGTACATTAACAAGAAACAAGAATATCAATGACCTAATAGGTTCTACAAAACTGGATTTGATCATAACTTGCAAGGACAAGATAAGTACAACTGTATGGCTGAAGCTACATGCATCTGATATAAGCATAAAAAGTTACTTTCTTTGTGTGGTCTCAATACAATATTATGCTAGAAGCAATTCTAGCATACTACAAAAGATTGGGTCTTGACCTCATTAACATGCTTACTTGTTGCATTCGAACTACGAAAAAGATGTCTCACAACGGAGAATAGCTCATAAGTTGTACAAGAGATTCTTAAATTCCAAAAAAAAAAAAAGTACTACTTTCAAAACTAATTACTTTGCAGTCTCATTTGCTAATCATTCAAATGTGGTCAATTATTAGTATTCTTCCAAGGCCAAGTAACTATTGGTCCTAATCACTAAACCACTTTCTGAACCTAAATAGAGAAAAAGACAATAAAAAGAGAAAGAAGGAAGTTCTGAAGTTGATTAGTGCATCATGGTTATAGTTATATCACTACTATGATGATACTGAGAAATTGTAGTTGAATAAGCATCAGTTGTTGTCTGTTCAAATTCACAGGGTTTAATATTACCCAACCCCTGAGATGCAATATCTATTTCCATTATGATTAATAAATAAAATTATATGTTCACTATTATAAATGCCACGTTAATACAAAAACCAAATCCATTTAATGGATGCTTCAAACAGCCCACTTCCTAGTTTTGACCCACTGACACACAAGGCAAAAAGATTCAGTATAGAACAGTTACAGTATCAGATGTATCTATTGTTTCTTTTTGTTTTGCCCCCATGAATGAAAGCATTAATCAACAGAGAAAAAACATGTTAGCAGTCCATGAAAAAGAAATAAAATTAAACATAAAAAGCAGAACCTCGAAATTAAGACCATAAAGCAGGATAAGCATTATAAGGCCAACCAAACATAGATGATTTGGTCCTAATCTTCTAAAAAAGGAAACCGATAAGTTGAGCGTTCATGTATATCTGTCAGGACTGCTTCATCAAGGCCTTTAAGATATTCATAACACCACGCAGCTAACAAGCAAGACCAACACGAAAATCTCTAGAAAGACTTAAAATTGTATTTTGCTCTCAATGTACCTTTCAATGGTATATGATTTTCCAAAACAACCAAAAAAACAATGTCCACAATATTGTTTATGTTTCAAGATAAAAAAAAAGTACGAAATGCCAATAAATTTTATCCACATACTCCAAAATCATTCATCATCTCTTTCAAAAGACAGGACCCTAGTATTAATAACTACGAACATCCCAAAGACATGTCCATCATATGTATTACTTCTGAAGCATCAAATTGAAATGGGAACTTAAAAAATAAAAAAAGTAAAAACAATCGAGTAATCAACAGAACCGAACATAACAAACAGAAAGAACATACTTTAAGGAAAGACAAACTTTTTTCCCATTCCAACTGCAAATATATAGACTATGAATTAAAGGTTAAAAGAAGAGGAATTTGGTAAGAAATAGAGAATAACAATAATAATAACACATCATATAAAATAATAAAAGCTTTTTTTTTTTACCGACGTTACCAAATCACTCAGAAACAAGTTGAAACAGAGATATCTAATCGGAAAAATTAAAGAACTTTCCGATTTCTTCTTCTTTTTCTGAAAAATCCCTTTACAACAACACCACAAATGAAACACCAATACTCCCAAAATAATGTAGCCATATAAATTTTCACTTTTGTTTTCTGAATCATTTATTAGGGCAATCCCTTGCAAAATGACCTTCTTCTCCACAATTAAAACATTTCCCACCGGCTCCTCCTCCTCGATCACTATCGCCGCCGCCGCCGCCGCTACCGTATCTACTACTTCCACCATCATCTCCACGAAAGCCACTGTATCTCGTGCTCCCAGCAACTTGATAACAATCCCTCGCCAAATGCCCCATCCTCCCACAATTATAGCAGGCGCCTCCACCTCCTCCGCCACCACCATAACTGCCTCTCCTGTAACCACCACCTGTACCTCCTCCACCAAAATATCCTCCTCTTCCACCACCACGACCACCATGGGAAGGGCGGCGAGATCGGGGGACAGGAGTTACATCAACGGCCTTAGCGCGGCCGTCTTCACCGAAATCGACGGCGAATTCGACGGATTGGTTATCGGAGAGAGTGCGAAAACCTTCGGAAAGAATAGAGGTTTGGTGGACGAAGAGATCTTCGCCGCCGTCGTCGGGAGCTATGAAACCGAAACCCTTTTGGGCATTGAACCATTTGACTGTGCCAGTGGATCTGTCGTTGCTGGTGGTCTCAGGCTCTGCCATTACCTTCGAGAAGATTCCAGAAAAGGCCCTAAAGAAAGAAAGAAGTTTCCTCCGGGGATTTTTTTTTTCTGGTCTGTTGTTTTTGGTGGTGCGCCAGGAAATTTTTGGGGCGGGCCTTTTTCTTGTTTGTTGTGGGACCGAATTGGTTTAGATCGGCGGGCAAAAAAATGGGATGAATTGGATCTGACGGTTTGGAATTTTTGGTGGTTTATCCGTTTGGCGGCGTTTGACTGCCTTCACTTAAATATAACTGGATTGGCTTCCCTTTGTTTTCTCTTTTTTTTTTTTTTTAATTTTATTTTAGCATGTAAGTTTTGGGTTGGTGGGCTTTCGCTGGGCTATGTGAGTTGTGATTAGATCTGTCTGTGGCCTGATTACCCATCCGACGCGTGGGTCTGGTCCATTTTGCGATAAATCTTGGATAAAAATTTGAGTTTGAGTCTGAAATATTAAATTATTAATAAAAATAATTTTTAATTTAAAATATTACAATATTATAATATTAATATTTTAATAGTTTTTAATAATTTATTTTTTAAATTATGGGCGGAGTTTTCAGAAGATTGATCGGGCCTTATCTGACCCAACCTATAGAAATAGATATACTGATTAATTGGTTTAGGCTTGGGATCCTTTTTTTTTTTATTCACAAGTATTGTCCATGGTAAGAGGGATAAGGTCTTGGTTTCCACCTCTATGTCCTCTAAGGTTTCCTTAGTCACTAAGGGAAAAGGCTGAGGTTAATTTCAGATTCAGTTTCAAAACGTGATGAAAATTTTTTTACTCACCTGAAGCATTAAAAATGAACAAGCGAAAAAAAATTTTTTTTTTTGAGTTTATACACGCATTACTTTCAAGAGCTGACAGATGGTTTAAACTTTGAAGTCATAATTTCCCTTGAGTGATTGTAGCGTTTGGTGGCCAATTTGTGGATTCCAACCTGAAAATATACTATTGTTTTAGCTTAACCTTTCCTCCATTACGAATCTTGGACTTTTGATTCATCTTGTTCTATAATGTTTGATGTTATGTTGCTTCGATTAATATAGTAATAAATGGTTTTTTTCTTAAAAAAAAATCACTATGTTTGTATTTTTATTTTAAAAAAATAAAATTAAATCCTTAAAATAAAAACCCTAGAACCATCACGTCAAGACATGAATCATGAGTCATGAGAAATAAACCCAAATAATAGTCACAATAACATTAAAAATTTAAAATTACGACAATGAAGACGAATTTACTTTATTTTACAACCGCTTAACGTAGAGATTTATTAATGTTCTTGCTGTTTCACGTGGCTGTGGGTCTTGGGTGTGAAGAACAGTTATTTGCTTTTCAAGGAAGAATCCATTCATCTAACCTTAAACGGATCAAAGACAGAGGGCAAGTTAAACACAAAACACATCAAAGCCTAGTGGCTAACACCCCAACTTTCCATCTTCTCTTCCTATAATATTTGTATACAAAGTCTCTGTTTCTTCAGTGTCTGAAACCAAATCACGTCAGCCATTGACATCCTCCTTCATTTCAGTTTAACTCTTAACCCTCAAACCCTTCCTACCATTGAAACATCCAAATCTTATCACCATTAAAAGCCACATCCTGGGTTTTTTTTTGAAGCCTTTCACTCTCCATTACTCAACAACAACTCTTTTTTTCTGGGCTCCTTGTTTCCTAACGTATTTGTTTGGCTTTGAATCCTCTCTTGTTCGTGTTTTCTGCTGTAAAAACTTCAACTATCTCCTCTACTACTAGCATTTTAATAAGGCGTTATATTAAATTAAATACGCAGTAAAGTTAGCTTTAGCTGTGATTTGATTTGACCGTTTTTTTTTCTTCTTCTTGTTTCGTACCTTTACTTTATATACTATCAGCTTTTGTTAATGTAGTTGCTCTTTTGTTAATCCTTGCTTTTATTTCTATTATTAAGTTGAATTATGTATACTATACTTATTATCTTATTGCAAAAAGAAACTGGAAAAGTTCCACCTTTTCAAGATTTTTTTTTCTCCTGTAAAGATTTAATATTTTAGGTATTTCATATTAAATCTAATTAGATTAAAGTTAGACTTAATAATTTTAGACATAAAATGATGATGTAATGTAAAAATAATAAAAAAAATAAAGTGATTATTAAAATTGATAAAAATAATATATAAATTTAAAAAAATAAAAAATATATTTTATATTAGATATGTCAACATGCATTATAATATGATAATTTTGTGTTTAATACAAAACAGATATTACATTAATAGGGTCGGATGTAATTTAAAGATGGGTTTACAGTGTTTATCTTAAAGCAACTTTCATTCTTTTTGGTTTGTTCTTTTAGTGGAGGACACATCTTTAAAACTATTGAAAAGAATGTTGATTTCTGGATATTGAGATTGTTCCCAATTAAAGTTCAAAGTTTCTTGTTGAATACAATGTAATTTAATTACTCTTTCATCAAACGTGGGATCTACATCCACTTGAATGTATTGGGAGATTATTGCCTTGGAGAAGAATCATGGGTTGATTGTTTTGTCTTTTTATGTTTCCCATCGTAAGCATTTCAATTATTGGAAGCTTCACTTTTTCTTTGATTGATGTTAATAAGGGCTAAAAAAGTTCTTTTTTTCTATTTACTTTGTTTATGGTTGCTTACCCTCTTCAGTTGATAAGGATGATCAAAATTTAAATTTTACTAGTTGTTATATTTGTTTGAAATATACTAGGCAATTTATATATATGTATTGTGTTTTATTTTGTATCAATTGCATGAAAAATATAAAAAATATTGTATTATAATTCGTATTAATGTATTAAATATGAAATTATTTTTATTTTTGTTAATCCATATATAATATTTTTAAAATTTTAAATCATATCGCTTTTGTAATTTTTTTGTTGTTTACGTATTATCATATTATATTTAAAATTTTTGTATCAATATTCTTAAATTCCACAAATAAATGAAAGGAAGGGAAAATAATAGTTGTTAGAAGGGTTTCTGTAATGTCTGAGAAATTTGCAGCTTCATTAAATCCATATGCAAAGGAAATCTATTTCTTTGTTGCTTATTGGAATAATGCAATTGAATAGATAAATACCCTTGTTGTGCCACATTTGATTGGTCCTTTCTAACCTTTTTGTTCTAACAAATTGTCTAAGCTTGCATATGCCGGTTTCAGCATCATAAATACCCTTGTAGTTCCATATTTGATCAGTCCTTTCTAACAAATTGTCTAAGCTTGCATATGCCAGTTTCAGCATCAGGTTCATTTTCATGTGACAGATACTACTCCTAGATATTGTTTTGTTCTCAGTTCTGTTTGAGTGGCTTTGCTTAAGTGCTACTGCATATTCCAGCTACATCAATCTCAAAAGCCATTCCTATTCACTATTTGAAGTATTTAGAAGAGCACGTCCCATTTCATGATTTTATTTATATAGTTTTTTTTTTTTAAAATTTTATCTCTCAAACGCATGTTTCAATGCTGACAATTGCAGTTATATTACCAAAAATTTATTTGCGACAGAATTTTTTGTCGATAATTATCAATGTATTATCAATGGATAATCGATAAAATTTTGCTTTTTGACTGGTCTATTAATGTGCTTCCAAAAGTTTTTATCAACTAGAAATATTATCCCTGCTTGAACTTTCCAAATTCTTATAGAAAGGTGAAAAAACTTATGATTTTCAGCCATTAATTTGTTTTTACATAAAACTTTTGGGATAACAACTTTTTTCAATTATCATTAAGTTTCTAGTTCATTTATTATTTTAATGTTACTTGAGTTCTGATTTTTTAATCTTCTCTTATATATTTGTGCCATGCATCTGATTTAAGCTCAAAGCTGATTACTCTTTGTCAGTTATATACCAATTATAGTTTACTTTCAATTACCCAAGAATATAGTACTTTGTTTGACCCTTCAGCAGGAGGGTGACCTGAGCCTGTGAGTGGAGCTTTTCCAGCTGTGTAGTACACTGAGAATTATAATTGCATCTCCAATCTCCAATCTGCTATAGATGTAATGCTAGAATTTAACAAATTGGATTCAGCAGGAAGATTGGCCCTAGGAACTTTTTTTTTTCACTCCACTATATTGTTTTTCATAGATTTATTGCAGGCACTAGAATAACAGGACGGCTTTTTGCCGGTGAGAACTTTAAAACTTCATTGATTTTATCTAAATGTGTTGGTAGATGTCTTTGACTTGCTTAATATGAGCTTGCTCTGTACTAATAAGAAATATGAAAGGGTTTCTTGTTCCCCTCACCACCGCATATTAAGGTTGTATTTGTATTCTTACTCTTTGCTTTTACTTGAAGCTTCGGTGTTAGACCGAGATTCTTTATCTAGAATTGTTCATCCTTGGCTTGTTTTAAGAATATACAATTGACGTCGTCTTTCAGTGAATCTTATTAGAAACAATTAGTATTTAGATTCAATTTGAATAAAATATTTGGGCAATATTCAATTAGTATCTTTAGCTTGTTCTGAATTAACATATATTTTGTCAATTTAATTTAGATTCTAACTCCTTTGATTTTATTTTGTAGGTATTTTTTTTATTGTGCATTGTAAGTGTCACGGATCTAAGGAAGAGTCCTGAATTTCACATCGAACATAATAAGAGGATCACTGGGGTATATAAGGGTTCACACCATTTTCGTCTTGTGAGACGTCTTTTGTAGGACAAAACCGTGAGGCCAGGAGCTAGAGCGGACAATATCTCACAAAGGTGTGAACTATAACAGGAAGGTTGATCTGGGACGCCGGAAGGGTGAATGTCCGGGTCTCGAAGCTGCGCGGGTTCGGAGCTTAAGTCTCGACCCGTGACAAGTGGTATCAGAGCCAGCCATAAACTGTTCGATCCACGCCAAGCACCTCGAGGGAGGTAGACAAAGTGACCAGCCTCCGTGACGAGGGCGTCACGAGGTTGGATGCGGGAGAATGTCACGAACTTAAAGAAGAGTCCTGAATCTCACATCGAACATAATAGGAGGATCACTGGGATATATAAGGGTTCACACTACCTCCGCCTTGTGAGAGGGGGCCAGAGCGAACAATACCTCACAAAGGTGTGAACCGTGACAGGAAGACTGATCTGAGACGCCGGAAGGGTGAATGCCCGGGTCCCGAAGCCACGTGGGTTCGGGATTTAAGTCTCGACCTGTGACATAAGTATTTGTTTACTTGACTTGCATGTTTACTAAATATTTATACATAATTTGTATATGTATTTTTTTTGTATTTTTAATT